CTCTTCAATTTGTCATTTCCAGCATAGTAAACCATGTGGTTGTCAGATTCAAAATGGCCAATACCAGTTCATTTCAGCTCACTAATGCCTAAGATGTCGATGTTTATGCATTCCATTTCATTTTTGACAACTTCCAATTTTCCTACATTCATACTTCATACATTCCATGTTCCAATTTTCAATGGATGTTTACAGCTGTTTCTCTTAATTTTGAGTTATGCCCCATCAGCAAATGAAGGTCCCGCGGGCTTGGGCTTTACTCCATTCGCATCATCACAGTTAACTCTACTTTGAGGAGGCAGCTCTTCCGCAGTACTAGGTAGGCTTTAACACTAAACAGTCAGTGTTCACATCTGATATTCCTCCTTACCTATCACTGTTGCCCTTAATCCTGGACTCATTCATTGTTGATTTCAACACTGGGTTAATGTGGTTGTTTTTATCCTTTTAACTCTACTGCTATTCTTTCTTCTCATGATGACTCTTGTACTCAGATTGGCTTCATGTTTTCTATTTTCTTTTGACTTCTGTTGTCAATTCACAAGGTTACAATGGGGCATTCCTTTCAATATTCGAAGGCACTGCTTCACCTTTTTTTTCTTTACAGTGCTCTCCTGAAACATTGGTACCTGGCCCTTCTCATCTACACATAATCTGATCTAGTTTTTTTTTTTTTTTTTTTTTTTTTTAATCAAAACTGAGTTCTTAAACCTACATTAATCTAGACAGTCCTTACCTAACAGACACTGTCTCTATTTTTAGACTACACATTTAGCTCTGTTCTGTGGTTACTATGGCATAGCTCACATTTTTAAAATGGCATTTTCCAAGAACATTTTTATCAAAGGCAGGATTTATTATTTAAATGCACAAAATAAGTTCAGCAAATAAATGATTTTCCACATCTCTGACACAAAACTGGACATAGAGAAAAGTACCACTGGAATTTAACATTCTTACAGATCATTCTCAGTATTATTTGTTGTGATAGTCTTTGAAACACTATATAATAAATATTGGATTTTTAAAAATCTCGTTACTTAATTACTTATCTCTTCATTGTGTCCATTTTATTTGCCTTAATCCGAAAGATTAGCGTTGTCCTCCAAGTAGAAATGTGCAACACATTTCCAAAAATCCAAGAGGTCTAGAGAAGCACCTGGATTACAGGCTTTGTGTAGTTGCCATGCATTGTTCATGGCTACATCAATCATGTAGGTTACTAAAATTGAGTACCATTTCTTGCTTTTTATCCTCACTCTATATCTGGAAATGATTTGATCCATTTTAGCAACACCTTCCCTGCATTCCCCATATAGTTTCACTATGGATGGCTGACTTATCTGAAGGCTCTCATCATCAGCAAAACAACAACTTATTTCATTCATGGGTTCTATGCCTACAGCATTGGAGCACAGACTAATAATGTCATCACCATGCCAGCGACACAAGATTATCTCATCATTTTCTTCCACGTGAAAATCAAAATACCCCTTCTTCATTTTTTTCATGTGTTCTGTATTCATAAGGGGACATCTTTCAATTCTGTTTTCATGAATTGCTCCTGTTGCCCTCAGTCCCTTCTTTTTCAAGGCTGACACCAATTTGACACTTGTAAAGAAGCTATCAAAACACAGGTGGTAGGGATATTGGCCTTTCTCTAAAAGAACATCAGCAAAGTTCATAACTAGATTCCCACCTAAACCAAGACCAAGATCCTTATCTGTCTCCACAGCTGATTCTTCTTGATAGGGCTCAAACCAAACCAGATAACCCTGTGTGGTTGTGCCACACCAAATTTTATAGCCAATTCTAATAGGTTTTCCATTCAGGAACTGGTCAGTATCAAAGCATTCACACATGGACTTATCAAAGCAATAGTATTCTTCTAAGGGAGCATACAAGAGAAAATTTTTATTCATTTGCTTTATGAGAGGTCTCAATTTTGTAAACTTATCTTTTTGGTCTAGGTGGCTATTATCTGCAAAATGTAGGTATGAAAAAATTATTTCAAATCTGTCCCTTCTAATTGCATCTCTAACCAGATTCTGATCAGCATTAGAGATTTCCCAATACATTCCCCTTCTAGGACGCCTCATAAATCCACTCAAAAGCAGGACACCAAACACGCACTTCATTTCCTGAACTGTGACTTCCAAACTGACATTTTTCTGAGAAGCATAATTGTTGGTTTCATTGACAATCATATTGAAAGTGTCATCATCAAAAAATAATTCAAAGAGTTCAACTGGGTTCAACTTTTCATTCTTGAGATTCAGAAGTCCAAAATCCACTGGTGACCATCTTGGGAAACTGGGTTTAATGTCTCTTTTGGTCCAATTCTGCTCTGAGACAATTGATACCTTCAGCTTCTTTTGAGCAGGCTGGGTTTCAGGTTCATTTTCTTCATCCACATCTGAGTCACCAGAAAATGCAAGGCTTTGGAGCAGCTCACTCACTCGAGCTTTGTCTTTTTTTCTCCCTTTGCGGGTAATATCACCTGCAGCATATTCCAATGATGAAATGTGCATCCGGGCCCACAAGTCACCTGGGTGACGGTCCTTCAGAGTGTTCAACTGTGCAACTGTCCTTTCAGAAGGGGCAGAAGTACTATAAGAGATCTGGGGTACACAATATCTGGTAAAGAAAAAAGAACACATGCTATAAAATCCTCAGTCTTATTCTTTCATCCATGATAAACCCTCTGAAGCTTAAGTCTTTTGTTTGTATTTGCTACTTCTCATGTTGGTAAAGGGCATCATATTTGGTAAAATGGCTGGGAAAACCAAATTCCAATGAATTAGATCGATACAATAGCAACAACAATGAGCTCAAACATACCAGTGATCACAAAGATGGTGCATAACTGAAAAATGTTATAAATCAGCTCACGATGAGTCACCAAAGAACAACTCATGTTTCCATGGAGAGGACGTCAGTTACACTCAACATTTCTAGCTTCACTCCCACCACTTACTCACTCCTCATGACTTATCTACTTGTTGAACTGGGAGAAGGAACTGGACTTAGTGCAGCACCTCTGTCCTCTTCAGGAGCAGGAGACAGTCCCTGCTGCTTCTTGCTCAAGTTCTATCAGACAGGCCTTTGCTGGGGGAAGTCTGCTGCATGCCACTCCTTCCAGGTAGAGCCCATTTAGCTCAGCCTTTGGGCTGTTTCATCAACCTATATCCTGTCAGTAATAAATCTGAGCTTCTAATACCAATTGTATAATTCCTGTGTCTTTGTCAACTGGCTCTGAACTTGAAGAACGAAGAAGGCTGTTATTTAGTAGCTCCTCCTCCCCACCCCTGTACCTCTCACAGAATCCCTGAAGATGAGAGGTTAACTCGACAGTTAACCTCCCCTTGTTCTACATTAATCTGCTGGACACACTGCTCCCGGGAGAAACATAAGAGAAACCCAAATATACTGTGTCTGAATTAACTTTTTATGGGACTTACAAGGAAGTAAGCACTTAACAACAACAACACATTCAAGAGCAAGTTTCAGAGTCTCTTCTGACATCCACTTTGATTTTGGAGTCCTGGTGTGGTGCTGTAGAATAAGTATTTGACACAAGGTAGGTTTGAACCACAAGATCAGTGGTTCAAACTTACCAGCTGCTCCTCAGACACCCTGTACAGGGTTCCTATGAGTTGGAACTGACTCAACTGCACTAAACAACATAATATACATGGAGTCCTGGTGTGGCGCCATAGGATAAGCACTTGACCTCAAGGTTGGTTTTAGGTTCAAACTCTCCTCAGAAACCTATACAGGGTTGCTATGAGTCGGAACTGACTCAACGGCATACAACACCCAAGGTAAAATTACTAAGATGAAAGTATTATTTTACACAAATTCCATTTGTAATTCTAGAAATTTCCACATCATTTACTTATCTAAACCAATAAACAAGTCTCGTTTTAAAAGATATAATGGAAAAACGTAATGGGAAGAGCATGTTTTAATATAATTTATACTACATATAGAGTCCTGGTATAGCACTATAAGATAAGCACTGGACTGTAAGGTTGGTTTGAACTGCAAGGCCAGTGGTTCAAACTCAACAGTCACTTCTCAGAAACCCCATACAGGGTTGCTACAAGTTGTAACCAACTCAACAGTAGTTAACAATAACAAAATACTATGTATATTTATTTATTTATTTATGTAAAGAATTTCTCATCTTGGGTGTTGTCAACATCCACATGTATAAATCATCTAATAGATCTAATGCATTCCCTGGCATCCTCATTTTCAGGGTACTCCTTGAATTCTGCCATTACATTGACCCTTTTCATTCATGGATGAAATCTAAACTTCAGTACTTCATTTTCTATCCCCAATTTCTTTCCACTCTAGCCTGTTCATCCATTTCACTCTCACCTTACCATTCTCTCCTGTTTTCACCTTCTTCCTATGATCTATGACCATAGTCCCTTCTCTATCAGGATCACCAACCACCCTGCCTCAGTATCCATCTGACCAGGAAAGCTTTAACATTGGATCAATGCTATTGTTGGCCTTCTTTGTTCCTTATATAAAAGTGAGCACTACCAGAGAAATCACACAATTAAGTTGACTGGAATTGCTAAAAATAATGGTCCCCAACTTCAACTAGCTACTCAATACTACCCAGAAATTCTTCTCATTTCTTCTTGTCCTTTTCTCCCCAGTTCCCCACACCTACTATTTCAAATCCTCATCACTTTTCACAAAGTATCTACTCAGTATGGCTGCCCTTCCTACTCCAGAGAGGTCCCAGCAGAAACTTACTCTTTGAAACTGTCTTCTTTTCCATAATTCCCCTAAGTCCACTAGTTGTTCTATTTATCTAAGCATTTGCAATGATATTTTCCTGCCTCTTTCCCACTTTATCCTTTTTAGCAAACTTCTACTTATTCATCAAGTCTTACCTCAGATGTCACCTCCTCTGAGATGCCTTTTCTGACACTCAAATCTCAAGTGCCTCTTGCACATTCTCTTAGAGTTATCAGGACACTTCATCATACTGCATTGTAGTTCTGTGTTTCCTGCAATGCCTCTCTTCCTGTGTGACTTATTGAAGGTAAAACCCCAAACCAAACCCACTGCCATCAAGACAGTTCCAACTTAGAACAACCCTACAGGATGGAGTAGAACTGCCCCATAGGGATTCCAACAATGCAATCTTTATGGAAGCAGGTGGTGAGTTCAAATTACTGCCTTTCAGCCTTCTGGTTAGCAGACAAGCACTTAACCACTGTATCACTGTTGTTGTCAGGTGCCATCAAGTCAGAACCGACTCATAGCGACCCCATGCACAGCAGAACGAAACAATGTCCGATCCTGGGCCAACCTCACTACCACTGCCACACTTGAGTCCATCAATG